GCGCGCGGCCCGCCGCCAGCAGTAACGGGGGTGTAACCACCCCAAACACACTGCGCTGCTGTAAAGATACTGCTGGCAGGTCTGCAACATGAGGAAGGGGTTTAATAAAATAAAATAAAGCAGACAACTTCATGTTACTGCCTTCCTGTCACTGAGGAGTTTCAATATTAATGCTGTGGACAGACGACATCGGGACCCGCGGGAGCACTGCTGCATCGGCCGTGCCAGCCCCTGCACATGCCATCCCCGTAGCCTCCGTTTCAGAGGCCCAAAGGCTGATTATTACTTTTCCTGAAAATACAGCAGGTCTGGCTCCAAGGGTGAACATGTACCAACAAAAAAAATGAAGAAAAATTATTTTCTGGTAACGGAGGTTCATGTTAATAACCTAAACCAGACTTCCTATGGGGAATTACTAGCTTGCTGCAACGGTCTCATATTAAAACATTAAAACATGTTTCAAAATTGTGTATGATTTTCCAAAATAATCATCTGCGATAGTCTAGAATGAAGGAGTATGAACATGAAAAATCTTATTCATTAATACAAGCTTTTGTGTGACTCATAATAAAATAATAAGGTTACATGATTTGTATTCAGTTTACATTAATTTCTTTAAATACGGTATGATACATTTCGGATTTTCACTCTCTTTTCTTCAGCAACCCCAGGCTAACCTAACCTGCATTAGTTTCCGACTGAATTAATTGAGATTTCGCTATGTTTCTAAAGATGCTATTCCAAACCGCAGAAGTTAAAGCAAAGAGTTGCTGAGAATCGCCTGCCTCACTCTGAAAGTACAATATACATGTGGGCATTTAAACGAGGCGCTATAATTGCTCAGTGACCACTACTTTTTTTTTTTCTAATTGCTCAACAACAATTGTCTATATTTCTCCAAACATTTTTTAACAAAATTGAGGAACTGGACAGAGTTCAGCTCATTATTTTAACCCAGCAACTGACTTTTCAAATACACAAATTGGCTGGTGAAAGAGAAAAATCATACTGTGTGCAAACAAAGACTTGCGTAATCTTCCTGGTGTTTTATTTCACTATTGCCAGAACAGATTTTATTTTCCTCTTTAATACTAATAAAACGGACTCCCCATTGTTACATGGATTCTACACTTTTCCCCAGCTCCACCCTCTCCTCGAGATTAAGGGTTTCCAGCTTTTTCTTCCATAGTAGTAGTAGTAAAGCCATGCTTGTTTATTTTTATTATGCATTCTGGGCTAAGGGAAAGAAAAGGAATAGAAGCAAATTGCCTTTGAATGTTGACTAAAGCACCACTTGGCCCTCTTTGCAGAAGGGCAGCATCCACTGCTCGTGTTGCTACGACACAAATGCAAAAGCCCCTGCTGCAAAGGCCCAGCTCGACTCGCGCCGTACCCTGGCCGAGCGCTTACTGCCACGTGCAGAGCGGCCCTTCCCCAGGTGGACGCGGCCACCACAGGAGCACGGGCTGGGCAGGGTCTCGCACGCGCCGCTCGGTCCACGGGCAGGCGCGGACGGCGGGCGCAGAGCCAACCCGCGCGGCGCCGGCTTCGTCCGCAGGAGGGTCCGCACGAGCCCACACTGCTCCCTGCGAGCGGCAGCGCGGGCAGCACCACGCGGACCCCGGGGAGCAGCCTCCGTCCTGCAGCTTCGCGCCTGGAAGGACCCCCCAAACCTAGCACGTGCTACGGGGGCCCCCATGCTCAAAGCTGTAACAGGAATGGAAGCCGAGGCACGCGTCGGAGGGACATTTCTATTAATAAATGCACATTACCTGACTACGTTTCAGAGGCCTACAGACTAGCAGGGTTTAGAATAACGTTACATCTGTTATCGCTTTTACAGACTAGCAAAGGTATTTTCTCCAACTTTAGAATATACCCAACTGCTGGTCTCCCTGCATGAAGACAGAGAGCCCGTGCAGCCTCACTAGCAGACGTCACACGGCCAGGTAGTGACATACCCTGCAAGCTGCTGCGCACAGAATCTAGGCAGGATCTTTACCCACGCTGGTTTGACTTGCACAGACACGAGAAGTGCCAGACTTTTCATCTGATACCACAAGCCACAGAGCAAACAAAATGAAACATTCTGAGGTTTTGTCTAGGGTTTCTTATGCTTTCACTAAACAGCATGGCCAAACACCCCCTGCGATAGTTAACCTAAAGGCATCCAGACTTAAAACATTATTTCTTGTGCATTGTACTGTTTGCGAAAATTTACATTTTACCTCTCATGTTTTTCTTCGTATTTATTTACCTTTTCAGATGATAATTGCCTACACAGAAGACTTCTACTAAAAGTTTTGTTTATTTATTTAGTTTTGTATCTACGTACAAATACTTATCTCTTGTTTACTCTCAAGGAAGACCTCATAACATTGTTTGCAGGTGACAAAATTACATACAAACCTGGTTACTAAGCAATTTATTTAACATACCTCAAAGCCGTAATTTCAAATTAGCTTCCCTCCTGAAAATCAATTCAGTCAATTTATTCCCTATTTACAAATTATTACTTACTTTGAGTTATGTCAGTTAAGTTACGACTCTATTTAATGCCAGGCAAGCATGTGATGAGCATTTACGTATACAGTGCACTTGATTTTAATCCACACAAGAGTTTCCGGAGCTTTGGGAAAATTCAGATGCCAACATCCCAGATATCACAACACTATGAGAATAACAACGAAGTAAAGCAATAAAATGGCTCACATATTAAGAGAAATGGGACAGTATTTCTTCATACAAATTAGGGCACACAGACATAACATGAACCAAGTTATTTCCTGCTTACCGTAAACCTCCTCTAAGAATAAATACTGCCAAGTCACCACAAACACCACTACTGCTGTGAGGAAAAAGTAAAACAGAATTCCACCATATCCCATTTTTTTGTAAGAGAAATAACCTGGACCTACTTCTAATAGAACATATTTACTTTGCAGCATGGAAAACTGAGAATGTCACCATCTGGAATATAAAAGCCTCTGGAATACAAGGACATGTATCTGTACGTACCTATACTTTCAAGAGCATTAAGTAAGAAAAGGCACGGAGCCAAAGTACTGAATCTGCTGTGTGGTACTCCTTCAAAAGTGGTGTCATTAGCTCACTTTAGCTTAATCCTCCTTCATAATAATACGCTTTAAACTTTACACCTTAAGTTAATCCATCTTAAGTTCCTCGAGTGTCTCCTTACACGCTTAATTCAATGCTCGGGTGGCCTTCGGCGTGAGCCCTCCTGCAGCTCCGGCATGGTGGGAGCAGCCACCGCCAACAGCAACTAATGCCCCTCATCCACCACTTTGCCCAAGTCCGCCTGCTCCTGCAGGGTGTCTTTGGCCAGGAACACCATGTAAGAGCTGGGCACACAACTGCCCATCATGTTCCACTGGAAGAGCAGCCTCGTTTCCTCCCTCGGCTCCGGGAGGAAGCAAAGGCAGGGCACCTCTCCCGAGAAAGCCTCCCAGGGGACTGCACGTGTTGTGGGAGCAACAGGGCTTTCCTTGGTTGCTTCTTGTTGAGCTCAAGGACCTGTGGCAAAAATATTGCCAGCTGAGAAAATCTCAGCTACTTTCCGGATGTTTGTTTTTCCCTGTTAAAGGGTTCATTTTCTCCTTCTCTCCACTTCTCCGGATGTGTCTCTACCCCCATGCAATCCGTATATTCCCTCTTTCCTGCGCCGCTGCCCTCGCTGACTCCCGGCTCCCGCACACCAGCTGCGCGGGGGCCCCCGTCTCCAGCACCGGCCTCCGCTTAAGCCCTTCTCATTCACAGCACCTGCCCACGGACAGCCGAACACCTCAACGAGGATGCACCCAACAAGCCGGGTTTCCCGTGCTCCCTCCTGCTCAAGGAGGGATGATAAACCCGCAGGGAAACTGGCCCAGGAGGCAGCAGCGCCAGCCACGCAAGAGGCTCCAGCACCAGACGGAGGCGAGACTATTGCTGCGTGCCCGGCCTCACGGGACACGGAGGGCTTGAGCGGGCACACCAGCACCAGCACCACCAGCACAGCTGCTGCCCCAGCATGCAAGGATGGCCTAAATTCTCCACCAGTTGTGCTTATCATTAATAAACTTACGTGGTCTTTGCAGGAATCCAACAGCCACGCAGAAATTATGATCCCACGGAAATGTTGCACAGATCAAACTTGTTATGAATAAATAACTTTTAATTAATTTATTATGAAGTCATCCTAAAGTTCAGTATTGTAAACCTTTTGGTTGAGTATAAAAACTATAGCTCCACTGACTGTAACCAAAAAGATAAATCTGGGCAAGAAACCCAT